GTTTCTTGACACGAGACAGAATCCTTTTTCTGTCACCATCCAAGTCTCGTAAGGATCAAAAGGTTTCTCTGACAAAAGATTCGAGCCTATATCTTGCTTCAAATCATAAAGAATCTCTAGCCACTTGTTCGCTGGTACTTTGTCGTAAATAGGTGTTTCCATCATATTTTCGTAAGTGACGGTTCCGAGAAAGGTGAAGAACTCTCTCGCCTCTGGTGTGTCTTTAATTTCGTATCTAAGGTATTCAATACGTTAAAAAAAATTTCATCTTATAGATACGAGAATAGATCTTACTTTTTAAACACGTCTGTCATTTTCATTGGATCTATAGTTTGAGCCATGCAAACGAATAGAGACCACCGTGGAATTTTAAACGAATCTTTATTATTATCCATTACGATAACCGTGGCGTTATTCTGATAACGATCCCAGAAAATACTCGACAAAACGATCAAACACACCAGAGCTCCGACAACGAAAACCAATATTAAGAATCTTGTGAACGAATATTTTTTTTGTTAAAAATCATTATGATTGTTAATATATATATATATATCGTCCAAGTATACTTACCTCTCAAAGGGATGTTTATTTGGCGCGACCAAGTGATTCAAACCGTGTAACGTTCCAGAACTCGCAAATTTCACGAAATATTTTCCTGCTACGGATTTTGGATTGATAGATGGCAGGCCAATCATAGTTGGATACGCCGACTTTTCTTTCCTCGATGTGATTCTCTGGCGTGCTTGAAGATCCGGCAATATTTCATTCTCGCAGAAATACTCGCTTTTTTCCAATGTCGTTTCAAGTGTTTTTGTCACCGATTTTTTCGTCATTGTTCTTTTTTATAGCAAGTAGCTTAGTTCCTTTTTCAACGATATTCACGCGAGTGTCGCAACAAATGTGATTGTTTCGATACCTTTTTCAAGGATTTTTTCATCGATCGAAATAAAAGACATTGCACGCGAGATTTTTATCATTTTATAGATCGATAACGTAACAAAATAGGAATCTAGTGGTACACGAATATAATAATATTAATAATTTATTCAAATTATCGTTAACAAGTAATCTACGATGACATATTATTACGAACACGTGATAAGGTAGGAGATATAGATTTGTTTTAAAAAAAAAGAAACGTTTCTCGACATTTATCCACTCTAAAAATTTCTTCATATTTATTCGCATTGATTCAAAAATTAATTTTTTTTTTATCTATTATTCTCCAGCGCCTACCTCGGCGTTTAATTCTTTCTCGAAGAAACACCGCGAGTCAATTTTTTTTTTCAGCACACGTTTGATCCGTGACTTTCGTACCATATACGAAACCAACAACCTTTATCCTCTCTACACTTTCTCGCTTTTTCCTTTCGCTAATTTTTTTCAATGGAAAAGCAGAATTTATTATGAACGAAGGTCAATTAGATATTACTGAAATCCGGATTATCCGGGACGTGGGAAGGTGCAAATTCCACGGAAGGTTTTGACAGCATTCTGACAGCAAGATGATGGACCGACAAGATACAGAAACGGTTAGGTCCACCTTATTTTTCTTTTTCTGGATCTCGATCGATCAATTTCCGCACGGAAAAATATATATCTAACGATCCGGCGATGAATCTTGGAAGTTAGGTTATAACAACGAATTCTTTTTCCAGGACACTGAAGAATGTTGCCCGACGCAGAGATATCACGAAGAACGACGGAAACAAGTGGAATCGTATCACGATCTGAAACGTTGTCTAAAATGCAATCAACCACGATCCGAGATACCGCCAGATTTGGTAAGGAGACGCGTGAGAAGAGCAAAAGATCAAGTGCAACACTGTCCTTCTTGTCATTGCCCTCCTGAAACCGTGAAGTATTCGATGGGAAGAACAAAGTAACGCGTTTTCTCGCTCGAATTTTTAATTATTTTAATGCCATAAAAAAAATTCCTTTTTCTCTCTCTTTACTTTTTTTTTTTTTTTTTTTTTTTTTTTTTAACCAGTTGTTCCAAAAATATGGACGCCGTTTTGAACGAGTACGAGAATTTATTGACAAATCCAACGAGTCAAACGTTCAAGAAGTCGCAGAGCAACACTTTATCGCCGAGGCTGTACGGGGTATCGGCTTGTAACGGATCAGCGTACGCTCATTATCACTCGCGGAAAAGGCAGCCGAATACTCATCGACGCCAATGCAGGATCGAGCAGGATCAAGTGCATTCGATCATGAAGAATATATTGCACTCGGGTGAAAACGATAATATATGTTACGAATATCCAAGATCTATGAAGAACAGTTACAAGAAGGAGAGTTATTACATGAGGGACGAGCATCATCAGGTAATATGTTAATCGCGTATTTCGAAATGTTTTCGTTTCGAAACAAATTTTTTCGACGATTAACAAACGTGAATTTTTATGAAACGCGAGTTGGGCGACCACGAGGACGCCGACTTGTTGTACACAAGGGGCAGATTGAGATTCAACTTGGCCGGTAAACACGGGAATAGAAAGAAGATGGATTTGGAGGAAGGAGCGGAGGAAAATCGGAACGTACAAGGGAAAAAGAAAAGCGACCCACTGCCGAATAAACTTTCCATCTTGAAAGGGTGCGCCTCGCAAACTTCGAAAACTAACGGGGAAGAATTGGCAAGTATTATTCCTTTCCTCGTGAATGAATTATACAAACGAATTTCGATCGATCAAACGACATATTTTTATATACCAATTTCTATTCCAGCCCAAGCATAAAAGTTTGGCAATCGACACGAACGATTACGCGAAGGAGGAAGAGTTGCCAAAGGAAGACGAGAACGCCCGGCCTGTCTGTAAACCGTGCCAACGATCCACCACCCGGCAAGATTCACCTTGCAGTCCTGGAAAAGAATCGACGAGCAACACGGAGGAAACGAGAGAGGATAGCTCGTATTGCGAGTTGGCCGTTAAGGACGAGGAACAAGATATTCCAAATAGGAAGAACACGTACGCTGGAGGGGATTTAAATCCTGATTTTAATCTTCGAGCGACTAAAAGTTACATCATTGGTCTAATCGATCGGGTTCTCAGCAAGAAATTCGCCACTTCGCCGGGCCAGCAAAAGGTTCTCCTTCTCGAACGAATGGAATAAGAATATGAATTGAATTTAAATTATACCCTTGCAACCTGTCACCTTTCTCCTCTTTTCGATCTCGAATTTTATTTATTTATTTTCTTTTTTTTTTTCTCTGCTTCTTTCAGAATACAGAATCGAATCGAGAATTAACAGAGCAAGGATACTCTGTGGAGATAGTACGTGCGCTTCGCGGTGATTGTTACGAATTGTTCACAAAGGACGTGTCCAGCCATCACGAGACACCGGCCGAATGTATAAAGCGTTTGAAAAACCTTCGGTGGCAGCACATGCAACACATTCAAAACGAGTTTAAAAAACTCTGCGATCTTCAAAAGTTTCTGGACGAGTATTCGCCGAGGGAGTCTCTGCTCACGTTTCAACCGAACACGGTCGAGCAACGGCCGGAGGAACGACAACCGCAGCAACAGCAACACGAGGAGAAGCAGAATTTAGGAACGTGATTGATTGATTTTTTTTTTTT